CACAGGAGTAACACAGGAGTAACACAGGAGCAACACGAGGAGTAACACAGGAGTAACACGAGGAGTAACACAGGAGTAACACAGGAGTAGGGCTTTTAAAATTGCTCAAAAATGACGTTCGAATATTCCCTCTAAAAAAAACACATATATTCGAACTATTCGAATATCTGGTTGCGCATTTTGTCAATGGCGCGCATTACGTCAATAACAGGACAAATTAATACAAAGAAACACAACTACTTGTAAAGGTAGTTTATTTAAGTTTAAACATATTTGACAACGTATTAACTTACACAAAAACAAGTAAATCAACTAATGGCCAAGACCGCAGACCTTACTCTCGCTCGCACTCGCAGGCACTCTTTCTTTCTCTCTCTCTCTCTCTCTCTCTCTCTCTCTCTCTCTCTCTCTCTCTCTCTCTCTCTCTCTCTCTCTCTCTCTCAGTGGTGTAGTCTACGTGATACGCAGGTATACGCCGTATGCCCACTAGAAAATGTCAAGGATTTCCGTATGCCCTCTTTAAAAAGCGTGAGGATTCGTAACAACATCGTTTTGTGAAAGAACTTTCATTCATAAATTCACCCCGCCGCCCGCCCGCCGTCCGCCCGCCGTGACGTCTGTGTTTGCGCAGCGACACGGCATGTTTATGATCCTTCTATACACAGAGACATTTGCATTGATGGGCGACCATAAAAGCCTCTCATTTTGTGAATAGGAAAACATTTGCATTAAGCACCCAGTTTGCACTTGTCTAAAGTAACTGCTACATTTATAAATAAGCCTACAATAGCAGAAGTAAGCCCTGCTGATGAAATTAAGGTTTAAACACTCTTCAATAAGGCTTCAGTTGTTTAACGAGTTTGTACAAGAAAGTACAATACACCTACTGCATTTATTACTCTTTTAATATGAATCAGCTATTAATAAACTACTCATAAACGGCAAACTACTTCTTCACTGCTGATTCCTGGTGGTTTAGAGGAGAATTACTCCTCGACAGGTCGCCCCCTGTCGTTTCACAGAATAGCACAACGGTGAGCGCGTCAAGTATAAACGCCTCGTCCGTTTGGAGAGGTGCGCGCGCAGTCAGCGGACGCGTCGAGTATAAACAAGGCTTGACGCGTTGTGTTTTCAGCGTCTATGAGGAGGACATGCACACATTTGAACTTCATCGCAGAGCTTTTATGAGAGTCACATCACAAGAATTTTTCCATTTCATTTGATAAAACTATCGTCATTCATTCGTATCATATACACACACTCACAAACTAGTCTTCATGACAACCTGTCAAAATCAAAGTTTTGTTGATGAAAATATAACAGAAATATATTACTATTGCACAGTAGAGTATACTTCAAGTAGGCCTAATAATAATAATAATAGTTTATTAAAACACACAGAAGCTCAAATGTCTTTAATTTACAACCCACCAAAATAAAAGTTTGTAGAGAGAAATAAAGTAACTCGAGGGAATTATGAAAGAAATTGCATAGTAAGATGTACTTTTTAAAATAATAATAATCAAATCTATTAAAACATAATTTTAAAGGAATATCACACACGTTTTTAAAAAGTAAATTTTTATTTGTGCTTATAATGTTTAAGTCTTTTAATTGTAACATCTAAGGCTAAATGTAGCTCTTTACTGGCTGAGTTAGATGGCGATTAACACTAAACAGTAGAAAATTGGGCGGTGGCGGTGGCGGTGGCGGTGGCGGGGGGGGGGGGGGGGGGCTGGTATATCACAGTATACTCACTACAAAAAACTAGACTACACCACTGCTCTCGCCCTCACGCTCTCTGCGCATAACGGTTTAAAATGAACAACAATAAACAAATGTTGAGTGCTGATCAAGAGTTTTGTGCAAGCAATTTAAGGTCGCGACTCTTGTCCTAAATATAGCAGGCTTCATTCAGTGATTGAAACAAATAGTTTACACAGTATATATAGAACCGACATTGAACGCTCCGAGCGAGCTGTGCTGTGGTAAACTGCTGCTATAATGGCTATTTCGAGGGCGTCTGGCCACGCCCCCTTAGCGGGCTCTGACGTGTATGATGTAATGCTAGCTCATTGGCGCACACGTTGGAGGTGCCCGCGCCATTGGATGTGCAGTTGCCGCTGCACAGCCAATGAGTGAGCCAGACACTCACTGTGCTAGCTGTGCAGCTGCAAAATGCGTTTTACATTTAAGCTTCAGAATTTTGGCACTCGCAAAGCAGACAGCCGCGCCTCTGCTGCCGCGGGCGTATTTTTCCACATGATTCGAATATTAATTTTCACCTTCGAATTTCTGTTTTTTAAAACTATTCGAATATATATTCACACGAGGAGCAACACGAGGAGCAACACGAGGAGTAACACGAGGAGTAACACAGGAGTAACACAGGAGTAACACAGGAGTAACACAGGAGTAACACAGGAGTAACACAGGAGCAACACAGGAGTAACACAGGAGTAACACAGGAGTAACACAGGAGTAACACAGGAGCAACACAGGAGTAACACAGGAGTAACACAGGAGCAACACAGGAGTAACACAGGAGTAACACAGGAGTAACACAGGAGTAACACAGGAGTAACACAGGAGTAACACAGGAGTAACACAGGAGCAACACAGGAGTAACACAGGAGTAACACAGGAGTAACACAGGAGTAACACAGGAGTAACACAGGAGTAACACAGGAGTAACACAGGAGCAACACAGGAGTAACACGAGGAGTAACACGAGGAGCAACACGAGGAGCAACACGAGGAGCAACACGAGGAGCAACACGAGGAGTAACACAGGAGTAACACGAGGAGTAACACAGGAGTAACACGAGGAGTAACACGAGGAGTAACACGAGGAGCAACACGAGGAGTAACACGAGGAGTAACACAGGAGTAACACGAGGAGTAACACAGGAGTAACACGAGGAGTAACACGAGGAGTAACACAGGAGTAACACGAGGAGTAACACAGGAGTAACACAGGAGTAACACAGGAGTAACACAGGAGCAACACGAGGAGTAACACAGGAGTAACACAGAAGTAACACGAGGAGTAACACAGGAGCAACACAGGAGTAACACGAGGAGTAACACAGGAGTAACACGAGGAGTAACACAGGAGTAACACGAGGAGCAACACGAGGAGTAACACAGGAGTAACACGAGGAGTAACACAGGAGTAACACGAGGAGTAACACAGGAGTAACACAGGAGTAACACAGGAGTAACACAGGAGCAACACGAGGAGTAACACAGGAGCAACACGAGGAGCAACACGAGGAGTAACACGAGGAGTAACACGAGGAGTAACACAGGAGTAACACAGGAGTAACACGAGGAGTAACACAGGAGTAACACGAGGAGCAACACGAGGAGTAACACAGGAGTAACACGAGGAGTAACACAGGAGTAACACAGGAGTAACACGAGGAGTAACACGAGGAGTAACACGAGGAGCAACACGAGGAGTAACACGAGGAGTAACACAGGAGTAACACGAGTAACACAGGAGTAACACGAGGAGTAACACGAGGAGTAACACAGGAGTAACACGAGGAGTAACACGAGGAGTAACACAGGAGTAACACGAGGAGCAACACGAGGAGCAACACGAGGAGCAACACAGGAGTAACACAGGAGTAACACGAGTAGTAACACGAGGAGCAACACGAGGAGTAACACGAGGAGTAACACAGGAGTAACACGAGGAGTAACACAGGAGTAACACGAGGAGTAACACGAGGAGTAACACGAGGAGTAACACAGGAGTAACACGAGGAGCAACACGAGGAGTAACACGAGGAGTAACACGAGGAGTAACACGAGGAGTAACACGAGGAGCAACACGAGGAGCAACACGAGGAGTAACACAGGAGTAACACGAGGAGTAACACGAGGAGTAACACAGGAGTAACACGAGGAGTAACACAGGAGTAACACGAGGAGCAACACGAGGAGCAACACGAGGAGTAACACGAGGAGTAACACAGGAGTAACACAGGAGTAACACGAGGAGTAACACAGGAGTAACACGAGGAGCAACACGAGGAGCAACACGAGGAGTAACACAGGAGTAACACGAGGAGCAACACAGGAGTAACACGAGGAGTAACACGAGGAGTAACACAGGAGTAACACGAGGAGTAACACAGGAGTAACACGAGGAGCAACACGAGGAGCAACACGAGGAGTAACACAGGAGTAACACGAGGAGCAACACAGGAGTAACACAGGAGTAACACAGGAGCAACACAGGAGTAACACAGGAGTAACGCAGGAGCAACACGAGGAGTAACACAGGAGTAACACGAGGAGCAACACGAGGAGCAACACGAGGAGCAACACGAGGAGCAACACGAGGACTATCACGAGGAGTAACACAGGAGTAACACGAGGAGTAACACAGGAGTAACACAGGAGTAACACGAGGAGTAACACAGGAGTAACACGAGGAGCAACACGAGGAGCAACACGAGGAGCAACACGAGGACTATCACGAGGAGTAACACAGGAGTAACACGAGGAGTAACACGAGGAGTAACACAGGAGTAACACAGGAGTAACACAGGAGTAACGCAGGAGCAACACGAGGAGTAACACAGGAGTAACACGAGGAGCAACACGAGGAGCAACACGAGGAGCAACACGAGGAGCAACACGAGGACTATCACGAGGAGTAACACAGGAGTAACACGAGGAGTAACACAGGAGTAACACAGGAGTAACACGAGGAGTAACACAGGAGTAACACGAGGAGCAACACGAGGAGCAACACGAGGAGCAACACGAGGAGCAACACGAGGACTATCACGAGGAGTAACACAGGAGTAACACGAGGAGTAACACGAGGAGTAACACAGGAGTAACACAGGAGTAACACAGGAGTAACACGAGGAGCAACACGAGGAGCAACACGAGGAGTAACACGAGGAGTAACGCAGGAGTAACACAGGAGTAACACAGGAGTAACACGACTGCAGGAGGGAAACACATGCGACTCTCACTTGTTCCAGTGGCTCTTGGAGTTTCGGTAAAGCGCCGGGAACATGATGGGCAGAATCCTGGCTGCGTTGTCACTGATGAGGCTCATGATGTACTCGTTGTTCCAGTAATACAGCGCTCTCTCCGCCACCTGACGGAAACACACGTCACATGACCACATGAACACACAGTATGCAGATATGAGACTCGAGCTCAGACTCAGCTGTAACGCGGCTCGAGAGAGGCGATATTCAGGAAGTCGCAGTAATGTTTGGGTTATCTGATACAATGTATCGCTTTGGTTCTTTTTTACACAAAAATCTATAATCTGTTCTTTCCCCTGACATATTCTACATTCATTTTCTATTTTATTCACACATTTTTTAAACTGTTAAATTTATTAATTTTATTCTATATTCTACTTTTTTGTTATATGTGTGTGTGTGTGTGTGTGTGTGTGTGTCCATGGTTTTGTGTTGGTTCTGTTTGTTGGAAACACTGGTCTTTATGGACAATCTGGTCTATTAAAGTTCTCAAAATAACAGACCCAAAACATTATACATCATTCGTCTGACGTTTTTAAATGTTACTACTAGTTTCAGAACGTTCCCATAATGTTTGGAGAACGATATAATGGAATGTTTCCTTAATGTTCACATAACCAAGAAAAATGTGTTTGAAACATTTAAATAACTGGATGTTCAGAGAACATTCAGAAATAAGGTTTTCATAACTAATGAACTGTGGTGTAAATCCAGCGTTTAATGTTGTTTATGTGTCTATGTGGTGTTTAATACGCTTTAAGACACACCATGTGTAAGTTCATAAGTCGACAGCATTGCTGAGTATTTCCTCCTTAAAACTGCAGTGAACCAAAGACAGTCTCAAAAACACGGTTTGAAATCGCTGGTGTTTCTGACGTCACAAACGACCTTGTAACCAATCAGATCAACGTGTGATCGTCAACCAGTGGATCTCTGAGCTGAGTGAGTGAGTGGAGGCGGGGCTCATTTGCATATTCATAGAACCACGCATACTAAATGAGGCGAGGGTATCGAGTCACATTCAAGATATTTTAAGGCGTGAAGAGAAAAAAAACGTTTAAAATGTCATTTTGGTGAAAGAAGAGTGTCATATACACCTAGGACGGCTTCAGGGGGAGTAAACCATGGGGTAATTTTAATCTTTGGGTGAACTATCCCTTTAAGAACACATTAGAGCACTTTGTTGCTGGAGTTGTGATCGTGCGCCCGCACCTGGAAGTGAGGGCTGGACACACACTTGGCGAGCTGACGGAAGAGCGGCTCCATGACCTTGACGAACTCCGACGGCTCGATCACGTCCAGGATCTCCTCCAGCTCGTTCAGGAACATCACCTCCTTCGGGCTGTGGGTCTTGGGCCAGTACTTGAGCAGAGCCATCACCACCTGCACACGGGCGGCACAGCGTCAGTCACATGATCACCCTCATCAGCCAATCAGAGAGAGCGAAGTCTTACCGGCTCTGTGAGCGTGCTGTCCTTCTCCAGGAACTGGACCACACAATACGCCAGCTGAGCGAGAACACACGGCATTAGCACTGAAGCGCTCGTGCGCACATGAGTTACAGGAGGAGTCACTTCAGAATTACAATCTCCTGATGATTTACTCGTCATCCAAGATGTTCATGTGTTTCTTTCTTCAGTGGAAAAGAAATGAAGGTTTTTGAGGAAAACACTCCAGGGTTTCTCCATATAGTGACTTCAATGGGGTCCAACGGGTCGAAGGTCCAGATGTGAGTTTCAGTGCAGCTTCAAAGTCTCGACACGATCCAGCCGAGGAATAAGAGTCTGATCTAGACAAACCAGCCGACATTTATAACAAAATACACATTTATATACTTTTATCCACTAATGCTGGTCTTGCTCGAGCTGTGATGCGACAAACATTACGTAATCTCGATGAAAGGTCTCGCGTGTTCTGGTTTATAAATGTAGAGCGAAAAACTCTCATCTCATTTTCCTCCAACTTTAAAATCATCCGACATCGTTGTTTTACCTTTTATTTATTTATTTTGTTAATGGTGTTTGACTCAGTCTTTGCACGTTCGCTTTGTAAACACTGGGTCTGTTCTTACGCCTACGTCACGCTTGACCTTTGAGAGCTTTTCCTCAAAAACCTTAATTTCCTTTCGACTGAAGAAAGAGAACATGAACATCTTGGATGACGAGGAGGAGAGGAAGTCATCAGGAGATTTGAATCCTGAAGCGAGTCCTCTGATGAGGGGCACGGCGACTGACCTGCGGGTGGTAGACGCTCAGAGACTTCACCTTGTGCAGCGGAAGCAAAACCTTCAGCAGGAATATCTTGTGCTCCTCTTTTAACGGTAAAGCAAAACCGTTGATGATGCTGTCGGAGAGAAGGAACACGCCTATCAGAGGATTTCCCAGCATGCAAAGGGACACACATCACAAGCTCATGTTTTACCTTCCTAGGATCTCCAGCAGTTCAGCTATTCCGTTGTGATGCTCGGTCTCGTAAATAAACCTGCAAACACACAGAACACTGAGGGATTCTGGGCGACGGTTCCTTCGCATCCGAGTTTCACATTTACATACAGTCATGTGATTCAGTCCTAAACTCTGAGCACTGGAGGCATTGCTCACCTGTAAAATATGTTATTGACTTGCTTTCTGATATAAGCGCGCAGCCCGAGGAACTTCCCGTATATCCGGTGCAGGGTGGTCTTCAGGAAGTCCCGTTCTCGAGGATCTTCACTGTCAAACAACTCTAGAAGCTGCAATAGAGTTCAGACAACATTCAACAGGTTGAAACTTTAATTTATTAATGTACACACTAGCGGTCAACGGTCAGGATGTTTTAATGTGTCTGAAAGAGTCTCTTCTGCTCACCAAGGCTGCATTTATCTGATCAAAAATACAGTAAAACAGTGTAATATTACTCCAGTGTAAATCATCTGTTCTCTATGTGAATATATAGTAAAGTGTAATTTATTCCTGTGATCAAAGCTGAATTTCAGCATCATTACTCCAGTCTTCAGTGTCACATGATCCTCCACAAATCACTCTAATATGAGGATCTGATGCTCAAGAAACATGTATGATTATTATCAGTGTTGAAAACTTCATATTATTGTGGAAACTGTGATACATTTTATTTTTCAGGATTTTTCAAAATTCAAAAGAACAGCATTAATTTGAAATAGAATCTTTTGTAACATTATAAATGCTTTACTGTCACTTTTGATCAATGTAATGCGTCCTTGATTAATAAAAGTATTCTTTTTTCCCCCAAAACTTTTAAATGGAAGTGTATTTCCACAAAAATCTGAAGCAGCACAACTGTTTTTTTTAACACTGATAATGATCATGAATTTTTCTCGAGCATCAGATCCTCATATTAGAGTGATTTCTGGAGGATCATGTGACACTGAAGACTGGAGTAATGATGCTGAAAATTCAGCTTTGATCACTGGAATAAATTACACTTTACTATATATTCACATAGAAAACAGATGATTTACATTTATAATAATATTTCACAGTTTTTACTGTATTTCTGATTAAATAAACGCAGCTTTGGTGAGCAGAAGAGACTCTTTCAGAAACATTAAAACATCCTCTTGATTACAGACCGGTGACCGCTAATGTATATATAGTGAAAATAAGAATCTTTACCTGCATCACAAATTTCTGGTCAATGTACTTCTTTGCAACATTGGGCTGAAAATCGGGCGACTCTAAAAACCGCAGGAAAAACTCGTACACCAGCTTCGAGAAACAGAAAGATGCTGTAATGAGCAACAGGTCAAACGAGTTCACATGCTCTGTGTTATTCAGACGCTCTCGTTCTCGCCGCGACCCAACCAGACGCCGCCGATAACAGCCAACATCGGCTCTGATGGGTCGTGGTGTGAACGGCGTCGGGGTCATGTGACCGATGATGTCATCAGCACCTGTAGGTGAGGCCACGCTGCTTCCAGAGTGGGTTCGTCCTCCTCGGGGTCAAACTCTGCTCCCGTCGGGTTGGACGAAGGCGGAAGAGCCCTGAACATGTTGATGGCAAACTGCAACACACACACACAGAAACACGCATCATCAGCTCACGCCATCCGAACCGTTCACAGTTCAGGTACTGATCACCTGCTTTATTTAATGTTAAAAGTGTCTTTTTTAAATCATTTACAGAAGCGACAATGGATAATTTACCTCAGATCTTGAAAATAAATGAAAGTAGAAGATGGTTTGTCACTCAGAATGCATTTTTAATAATGTCAAATTGGCATAATTATGAATTTAATTATGTGCTTATCCATTTGCGCTCGCAGAGACCCCGCCCACAGAGACCCCGCCCACAGAGACCCCGCCCACAGAGACCCCACCCACAGAGCCCCCGCCCACAGAGACCCCACCCACAGAGACCCCGCCCACAGAGCCCCCGCCCACAGAGACCCCACCCACAGAGACCCCGCCCACAGAGCCCCCGCCCACAGAGACCCCACCCACAGAGACCCCGCCCACAGAGCCCCCGCCCACAGAGACCCCACCCACAGAGACCCCGCCCACAGAGACTCCACCCACAGAGACCCCACCCACAGAGCCCCCGCCCACAGAGCCCCCGCCCACAGAGACCCCACCCACAGAGACCCCACCCACAGAGACCCCGCCCACAGAGACCCCACCCACAGAGACCCCGCCCACAGAGCCCCCGCCCACAGAGACTCCACCCACAGAGACCCCACCCACAGAGCCCCCGCCCACAGAGACCCCGCCCACAGAGACCCCACCCACAGAGACCCCGCCCACAGAGCCCCCGCCCACAGAGACCCCGCCCACAGAGACCCCACCCACAGAGCCCCCGCCCACAGAGACCCCGCCCACAGAGACCCCACCCACAGAGACCCCACCCACAGAGACCCTGCCCACACGCTCTTCTGCGCGTTAAGGGTTTCCTGTTAGAGCGGTGTCGTGTTAGCGGCCGCTAAGTTAATCACTAATGATCTTTACAACGGAAGTGAATCAATCAGAACTAACTTTATCTGGACAATAACTTTATTCTAGAGCTGCTGTAAAGCCTAAACACTCTCTATGACTGTAATCTCCTGTTATCACTTTAAAGCTGCTGTGAAACTCTATATTGTTAAAGCGCTGTATAAATGAAGGGACTTGACTTCTGATTGGCTGTGGTGTTTGATTGATTTGTCAGGGGTCGCCAAGCTCCTCTTGATTTGAAATATTTAAAGCAACACCAAGTAACTTTTCCTCTGCGGCCGCCCTACAGGTTGGAAGCGAATTGTCCATTACTGCTGTCGTAAATAATTTAGCCTACCGCAGGGTCGGTAGGGACCAGATTGACCAGAAAAGTGTTTCCATTGTAGTTTATGTGCACGTCTTCTTATCGGATAAAAAATAACCCATCTCAACTGAGCGCTTAAAGTTTTTTATGCACATTTTTAGAATTTATGTGCATCCTAAAATTTGCTTAAAAATAGGAGGATGGAAACAAAGCAATAGATCAGCCAGTCGAGCTCATATCAATATACTGCAATCAGTCACTGGCCTCAGGTGCGGGTCAGGCGAACAATCGACGGCCACATTAGCAGAACAATAGCGCTATTAGCATTGGCAGCAGTCGTGCAGCTTTGATCATGTGACTGAAAGACATGAAAGCTGGCGTTCGCTCACACATGATCCACCACACGCCTGCATGTGTACATCACGAAGCAGAAGAGTTTCTGGAGCGAGAGCTGGAAGAATATTGTGTCTAGGGGTGCAGCGGCTCACGGTTTCGCTACGGTTCGGCATGTGCTGTATCGTGTTCAGGGGAAAAAGTCAAATAAAAATAAACAAATAAAGAATAAATAATCTAACTACAAGCAACAGCACAAATAAATACAATAGAGCAAAGATACTAATACAATAAACAGTGATTTTCAGGTTTTCAGTTAGCTCTAACATTAGTTTTCAAGTACAGAAATTGAATAAAGTAATATATACAATATATATTTACAAGTATAAAATAAAATTGCAGATTTGACTGTATAAGTTAAAGATTAATCCTTATTAAAGTAACAAAAGCTACTCAATCAAGAGCAGTGAGTGATTTCCTTGTCTTTTGTCGTGTGATTAACATTAAACACAGACCGCAGGAATATTAGCACATAATGTATGGATACAGAATACTGATAATGTTACATATAACAAATGCGTCGTCTTTCTCCACTGTATAAGTTCGCTTCAGGCATAACAGAGAGTCTGCTAGGATACTCATCAAGACGGACATGGGGACAATTTTTGTGTGAATTTGTCCATTCAAGCACAAGACTTGAAAGAGAACTCAATATTTGCGCACTGTCGGAGACTTGTGCGCGCTTTGGATGAAAACGCACACACACGCACACACACACACACACGCACACACACACATACACACACACACACACACACACACGGATTTGTGTTTTTTCTAAGTGAATGAAAACATCCTGCAAAGGTTTAAATCTGAAAGTGCACCGTATATTAAGTTATCTTTCAAAAGTAAGAGTCGACTCTTGAGTCAATTAACATTTCTTTTACCAACGTTTGTTACATCAGATCATTCACTCTAGAGCTCGGCTAATGTACATTGCATTCATGCACTGTTATTGATACAGTTTCCACGTATTCACCGCAATATATTAGAAAAATACTCTGTAAATAAATGAGTACGGGTAAAATAATCGGTTTGTTGATGGACATGCACTTGTTAATGCTGATGGTGAGGAATTACAGTTGCAACACCTTATAATGTTCCTCAAACTGAGTAGCAATAGCGTATCACTGAGACACACTGAGTCCTGCTGGAGCCGTCCTGGCGATGGAGGTTCGGGTGAATAACAAGCTCTTCCAGTGTTTCATCATCGCACTCGCGCTCGCATTGATATGGTCAAATCGACGCTATTGTTCGTTACGGTGTTTAGTTTACGCTGTAGAAAGCCTCAGGACACGCAGAGCTGACGTTGTTATGGCAATGAGCGTTTTTGTTTTCAACGCACTGTACACGGTAGGCCAATCACAGCAGACTGAGCTGTATGGCCAATCACAGCGGACTGAGCTGTCTGGCCACTGGCCAATCACAGCGGACTGAGCTGTCTGGCCACTGGCCAATCACAGCGGACTGAGCTGTCTGGCCAATCACAGCGGACTGAGCTGTCTGGCCAATCACAGCGGACTGAGCTGTCTGGCCAATCACAGCGGACTGAACTGTCTGGCCAATCACAGCGGACTGAACTGTCTGGCCAATCACAGCGGACTGAGCTGTCTGGCCAATCACAGCGGACTGAGCTGTCTGGCCAATCAGAGCGGACTGAGCTGTCTGGCCAATCAGAGCGGACTGAGCTGTCTGGCCAATCACAGCAGACTAAGCTGTCTGGCCAATCACAGCAGACTGAGCTGTCTGGCCAATCACAGCAGACTGAGCTGTCTGGCCAATCACAGCAGACTGAGCTGTCTGGCCAATCACAGCAGACTGAGCTGTCTGGCCAATCACAGCAGACTGAGCTGTCTGGCCAATCACAGCAGACTGAGCTGTCTGGCCAATCACAGCAGACTGAGCTGTATGGCCAATCAGAGCAGACTGAGCTGTCTGGCCAATCACAGCAGACTGAGCTGTATGGCCAATCACAGCAGACTGAGCTGTCTGGCCAATCACAGCAGACTGAGCTGTCTGGCCAATCACAGCAGACTGAGCTGTCTGGCCAATCACAGCAGACTGAGCTGTCTGGCCAATCACAGCAGACTGAGCTGTCTGGCCAATCACAGCAGACTGAGCTGTCTGGCCAATCACAGCAGACTGAGCTGTATGGCCAATCACAGCAGACTGAGCTGTATGGCCAATCACAGCAGACTGAGCTGTCTGGCCAATCAGAGCAGAGTAGCTCACGGAAAGGAGGGATTTAGAGGGATTTATTCATCTCACAAGTCATTGAGAATCATTGAAAATGTGATGATGTGCAAATGTATATTATGACGAAATTAAACAGTTTTTTTTACCTTTGATGCATGTAAACATGTAGGAGACTCCACAACAACATTAGGAAACTTTAAAATAGCATAATAAGGGCCCTTTAAATTGACAAAGCTGCTCTGAAAAACTCTGTGTTGTAAAAGCGCTGTATAAATAAAGGAGACCTGACTTGACTTTTTTACCGAGAACCGTTACACCCCAGCCGTCGAGAACCGTTACACCCCAGCCGTCTCCATTATGATAAGGCTTCTGTGAATAGCAGAGCCTGTGGAGTGGGTGAAGCACGAGACGGGCACAGGGCCGGAGGAGCGCTGAGGACACGCGGCGGCACTGAGGACACGCGGCGGCACTGAGGACACACGGCGGCACTGAGGACACACGGCACTGAGGACACGCGGCGGCACTGAGGACACGCGGCGGCACTGAGGACACACGGCGGCACTGAGGACACGCGGCGGCACTGAGGACACACGGCGGCACTGAGGACACGCGGCGGCACTGAGGACACACGGCGGCACTGAGGACACACGGCGGCACTGAGGACACGCGGCGGCACTGAGGACACGCGGCGGCACTGAGGACACACGGCGGCACTGAGGACACGCGGCGGCACTGAGGACACACGGCGGCACTGAGGACACGCAGCACTGGCACTGAGGACACGCGGCGGCACTGAGGACACGCGGCGGCACTGAGGACACACGGCGGCACTGAGGACACACGGCGGCACTGAGGACACGCAGCACTGGCACTGAGGACACGCGGCGGCACTGAGGACACGCGGCGGCACTGAGGACACGCGGCGGCACTGAGGACACACGGCGGCACTGAGGACACACGGCGGCACTGAGGACACGCGGCGGCACTGAGGACACACGGCGGCACTGAGGACACGCAGCACTGGCACTGAGGACACGCGGCGGCACTGAGGACACGCGGCGGCACTGAGGACACACGGCGGCACTGAGGACACACGGCGGCACTGAGGACACGCGGCGGCACTGAGGACACACGGCGGCACTGAGGACACGCGGCGGCACTGAGGACACGCGGCGGCACTGAGGACACACGGCGGCACTGAGGACACGCAGCACTGGCACTGAGGACACGCGGCGGCACTGAGGACACGCGGCGGCACTGAGGACACGCGGCGGCACTGAGGACACACGGCGGCACTGAGGACACACGGCGGCACTGAGGACACACGGCGGCACTGAGGACACGGGACACACGGCACTGAGGACACACGGCGGCACTGAGGACACGCGGCGGCACTGAGGACACACGGCGGCACTGAGGACACGCGGCGGCACTGAGGACACACGGCGGCACTGAGGACACACGGCGGCACTGAGGACACACGGCGGCACTGAGGACACGGGACACACGGCACTGAGGACACACGGCGGCACTGAGGACACACGGCGGCACTGAGGACACACGGCGGCACTGAGGACACACGGCGGCACTGAGGACACGGGACACACGGCACTGAGGACACACGGCGGCACTGATCCGGAGAGACGGGCAGAGGGCCGGAGGAGCGGCACTGAGGACACACGGCGGCACTGAGGACACACGGCGGCACTGAGGACACGCGGCGGCACTGAGGACACACGGCGGCACTGAGGACACACGGCGGCACTGAGGACACACGGCGGCACTGAGGACACGCGGCGGCACTGAGGACACACGGCGGCACTGATCCAGAGAGACGGGCAGAGGGCCGGAGGAGCGGCACTGAGGACACACGGCGGCACTGATCCGCGACCGGCGCCGGACTCACCATGTGCACCACCTCGGGGTAGATGGGCTCGGTGATCACACTGCGGTTGTGTGTGAGGAACTCCACCATCTCGCTGAGCGCCGCACGCTTCACCTCCTTCCATTTCAGGTCGCTGAGTGGGTCCGAGAGGAAGTCGAAGAGGACGCAGCACTGGCGCAGCTTCTGGACGAAGAGCTTCTCCTGCTCAGCCGGAGCCACGTCTGCAACACACACACACACACACACAGCTCATCACTGATGATCTCTGCAACACACACACACACACACAGCTCATCACTGATGATCTCTGCAACACACACACACAGCTCATCACTGATGATCTCTGCAACACACACACACACACAGCTCATCACTGATGATCTCTGCAACACACACACACACACACAGCTCATCACAGATGATCTCTGCAACACACACACACAGCTCATCACTGATGATCTCTGCAACACACACACACACACACACAGCTCATCACTGATGATCTCTGCAACACACACACACACACAGCTCATCACTGATGACCTCAGCAAAACACACACAGCTCATCACTGATGATCTCTGCAACGGAATCAATCAGAACTAACTTTATCTGGACAATAACTTTATTCTAGAGCTGCTGTAAAGCCTAAACACTCTCTGTTACTGTAATCTCCTGTTATCTGTAAAGCTGCTGTGAAACTCTAGATTGTTAAAGCGCTGTATAGATGAAGGAGACTTGACTTTAAACCAAGCGGCAACATATTAATCTGAAAAATGAAGCCTACCCGGAAGTGCGAAAAACTGCAATACATGGAAAATCCGCTAGAGGGAGGTCCCAAAAGGGAGCAAATGTCCATAGACCCCACGTTAAAATGTCCGTTTTCACAGCATAAATTCATGTTTTTACAGGTTGGTCCATGGACTTTTATTGTATTTTTCGATATGTTCCGAGTGCCTGACAACTGTGAGGGGGTGAATTTTTTTCTAACTCGTTAGTTTAGATCGTATTTAGATATAAAATGTATGACAAATAAGGGCGTGGCTAACTTTGATTGACAGCTTGATTGACAGCTGATAACGGGCTGCGCCGAATGGAACTCCTGAAAGTTGACACAACACATCACACCACCTCTGTATCCTTTCTGAACATTTGTATTGAAATATCGTACATAACATGGGTTGCTCTGCTATAAACTGCACTAGCCGACACTGTAGGACTAGGAGTACTTCGCTCCATTTTTTCCGGTAAGTTCCACTACTATATCACGTAGTTAGCACTATTTAGCATCAATGTTTGTGGGCAGTGGCACTGCAACAGTTAGCATTAAATCGCCTCAGATAAGTTAGCGTCGAGGTAGGGACAGGTGGGGTTTGGGGGGCTAATACAATGCTAAATCATAAATCAGATGTACCTATGTACAATAACATACCGATGTCCAGCAATCGATTTAAATAGTACATTGTGTTTAATTTGTCGTTTAATGAGATCTAATGTCATTGTTGGTGAGAATTTTCACGTGAAGAAATACATAGATCCAACAATTACGTGCCTGCACTTTAATGGTCCAGTGGCAGAAGTTTTGCCCAGCGTGTCAGAGGTTCTGGGTTCGAATCCGCACTCGTATAGTTTTTTGTTTTTTTCTCTCTCATTAAAACCGATTATGTTTATCAGTGGTTGTATATCAAGCAGGGACACGTTTGTGTGCATTTTAATTTGTGATTTCACCGGAACGAATAGAGAGTCTCCGCAACGGATTAAAGCGCGCGTCCGAGTTCAAAATTGGTGGGGACAATATCGACCCTGGCAAAAGTGGTGGGGACACGTCCCACACGCAAATTACGCCTATGCCTATGGTTATAACTGACGTTTGAAACACTGTAAATGAATAAATGTAACATAAGAATAGGCTGATATGTCCCACATCGGAGTGTTTTTCAGCAGCTCTGCAGTGAGTGCAGTGGCCATAGACTGTGAAGAGTAGCCTAGTCTGCCAGTCGATCCTGTAGCGGTACAGATAGCTGAGGCTCGGCTGAAGAGGCGTGTCCACCGGCCGGCTCAGTCTCACACAAAGCCCGCCCTTTTACCCATATATGGATTGGCCAGAAGGTGGGCGTTAGGATTTCCCAAGATGGCGCCGCCCATACCCCCCATAAACGGCCTCAAAACGTTCTTCAGAAAGTCTATGGGTGACATCACAGACGCTTTGTCCATTTTTATCACAGTCTATGCTTTATACAGATCGATTCACAGCAGATTCACAGTAATAATCATAATCAATGATGAAAACTTTATCAGATGACACACATTCAGATGTTGTATATATTTTTCATTTCTGACAGACATTAGATGGGTTATTGAGCACTAATAATCATCATAAACATTTCAGATGATGCTCATAGTTTTCCTGCAGTGACTTGTTGTGTCCACACACTGGAGGCCAGCGCTGTCTGCACATCATCAGCATATCCGATTATAATAATAGTAATAGTAAAGAGTGACACAATGATCGTGTTGCACCTCAGGAAACGCGTGTCACATGACGTCACATGCACCTCAGGAAACGCGTGTCACATGACGTCACATGCACCTCAGGAAAGGCGTCGCACGCTAGCTGGCTAGACTAGTTATATTATAGAGAGTATTTTGCTAAATATGTGCACTATATTAAATATTTATTATATTTTTACTTTTATCATTAAAATATTGTAACTATAGCCTAGTAAAAACCACATTATATTTAATTTGAGTAGTTAT